TCTTATATACATTTGAGATTTCTATTTCAGTTTGACACTACTGCTCCAAACCAAGTCAATATATGCCTTTCTACTCAATCAAAGGATAGCACCAGGGATGATGGCAATGGAAATGTGGTTAGGTTCTATAAGAAATCATATGATCACGGAATCAAGCGATCGACAAGCATTGATTCACTGTTTGCCAGGCACCATATTAGACTTCAGGGGATATAAAGAAAAAATAAAATAGCTTCTACTCTTAAGGAGCTTATGTTCTGGGGGGGAGGGGAGAGACACAACCTGTATGCAAATAACTAAGTACAAAATTTATACAAAATAAACACTAGGTAAATTTTGGGCATGGAAGTAGTAGTAGCTGAGGAGTGGGAATCAGGCAAGGCCTCATGTATATAAGAGGCAGCTAGGTGGTTCTGTGAATAGAACACTGGCCCAAAAGTCAAGAAGACCTGAGTTCAAGTTGGGCCTTAGACACTTACTAGCTATGTGACCTTGGGCAAGTCACTTATCCTCTATTTTCCTTTATCCACTGGAAAAGGAAATGACAAATCACTCCAGTATCTTTGCCAAGAAAAGTCCATGGACAGTATTGTCCGTGGGGTCACGAAGGGTCGGACATGACTGAACAACACGTAGCTAAGAGTTCACTTCAACAACAAATGTCAGAAGGAATTTCAGAGGTCATTAAGTCCAACCTGCAATTCACCAAGAATTTCCTATATGACATCAATAAGTGCTCATCAAAGCTTCTTTTGAAGATCGCTAGCAAGGGAGAATACAAGATCCCTCCAAAGCACACATTTGGACAGCAATAATTGTTAGGAAATTTTTCCTTACATCAATTCTAAATCTATCTCATCCACCCTTAACTACTAGCTCTGTCCAAATCAAATTCCTCTTCTATATCATAAGCCATCAAATTCTTGAAGATAATTGTGGAAGCATATTAAAAGCCTCCTATTTAGTTTCTCTAGAAATTTTAACATTAATCCTAATTGCTAGCATTCACATAGCATGTTGAGGGTTGTAAAGTGCTTTACAAACATAATCTCGTGGGGCAGCTAGGTGGCTGCAGTGGACAGAGCACCAGCCCCAGAGTCAGGAGGACCTGAGTTCAAATCTGACCTCAGACACTTGACACTTACTAGCTGTGTGACCCTGAGCAAGTCACTTAATCCCATTGCCTAGGGAAAAAAAAAATTAAAAATTAAAAAACAACAACAAAACCTAAATATAATCTTATTTTATCCTCACAACAACCCTGTGAGGTGGGTGCTATTATTATTCTCATTTTACAGATGAGGAAATTGAAGTAAACAGAAGTTAATTGATTTGTCCAAGGTCACACAGCTAGGAAAGTGTCTGAGGCTAGATTTGAACTCAGATTTCCTGACTACAGTCCAGCAATCTCTATATATTAAGAAACAGTATTTCTCTGAGCTAAAAAGTCCTTTATAAAATTCTTGGAAAAGCCCCTAGGAAAGGCAGATGATAATCAATAAAGCACAAAAAGGGAAATGATTAAAGATGATAACCAAACTTAATTATGACCTTGATCTTGTCATTGCCACTCAATCCACCCAAAGTATTTGGTGCTATGACCCACTCTTCTTCATTGAGAAAGGATTAAGCTGTATTGTACATAAAGTCAACCAGCATTTGTGCGCCCAGCACAGTGCTAAACACTGGGATAGAAGGTGGGAGGTGCCTTTGTTTAACTCCAAGAATAAAGGGAGTAATCAACAGTTGAATAAGGTAACAACTTGGTTACTCAACAATTCTGGAAGGTTAACCAAAGACTATATTTTAACATATTTTTTCCATCTTCAAGATTTCTATAAATGTTATTCTCAAATTATCTTGGGTAGAGAGGTCAGGCTGGAGGGCATAGGGAACTATGCTGTTATGGACATCTCTATCTCCAAGCTAGAAAGGTTACATTGCATAAAATAGTTTTTGGAGTCTGAGCCTAAAAACATGAAAGACAGTATGAATATTAATATTTTTCTTCGGCATAGCAATCTTGCCCATTGCCAATCCCTGCTCCCACCAAGTTTTTAGTTTTCTCATCTATAAGTTAAATAGCTCTGATTGCAATTTGGCATGCATGGTCTTCAAAATAAGATTGAATAACAAAATAAGAAATTATGAAGTGGTTGGTTTGGGGAAAAACTGAGATCAGTATGAACTGATACAGAGTGAAGTGAGCAGAACTAGAACAATTTATACAATAACAATATTATAAAGAAAACCAACTTGATAAGGACCATGGTAAACATGATAATCAACCAGGATTCTATAGGATTGATCATGATGTATTCTCTCCACTAAGAGGTGATGGATTCATGAATAATTAGACATATATCTCAGACATGCCAATGTAGGATTTTATTTTGCTTTACTATGTATATCTGTTAAAATGGCTTTGTTTTCCTTCTCCTTTTCCTTTTCCAGTGGTAGCAGATGACAAGGGGGAGATAGAAACAGTACAGCAAAAAAAGAAAAAGAAAGGAAACAGGATCATTGAGGCAACTTTTATTTGTTTGTATATATATATATTTATTATCACTCTTCCCCTGTGCCCCCAAACCACATCTAACAGCAATGAAAAAGAACAAAAGCTTCCTAACAAATAAGCATAGTCTAGTACGACAAATTTCCATGTTGTCCATGTACAAGAATGTTAACATCAGTCTTCATTTGAATTCTATCACCTCTCTGACAAAAGAGGTAGGTAGCATGCTTCATCTTTGCCCTCTGAACTCCTGGTTTATCATAGCATTGATCAGTTTTCAAGTTTTTCAAATGTTGTCTTCTTTATAATCAATGTTGTCATGGTCTGAATTGCTCTACTTATTCTGTTCACTTTACTCTGCATCCGTTCAAGTAAGTCTTCTCAGTTTCCAAGGAAACTGTCTATTTCATCTATTTCATCACTTATTATGGACCAATATTCAATTACATTCATATCTTATCATTTATTTAGCCATTCTCCAGTAAGCAGGCAAACTGTTAAGTTTTCAGGGTCTTTTTTTCTGCTATGAAATAAACTGCTATGAATATTTTTGTACCTATACGTCTTCTGATCCCTTTGGGGATGTGCCTCATAGTGGTATCACTGGTTAAACTGAATATGATCAGCTTGGTGATTTTTTTTTGAGCACAATTTCAAATTGCTTTCCAGAATTGGGAATTAGTCTACAACTCCATCAACAGTAATTAATGTGCCTGTTTCCTCACAGCCCCCCCCATATTTGTTACTTCCTCTTTTTTCATATTTGGAGATCTGAGAGAAGTTATATAGAAATTCAAAGTTGCTTGAATTTTCATTTCCTTTGAGGAAGCTCTAAGAAAAAAGAGAGAGAGAATAGAAGGAAGTCCAGAAAGAAGCACAGACAAAGTAAGACAGCTTTGAAAGCTACAGGTTGGAGATATATATATATATATATAATATATATATGTATGTGTGTGTGTGTATGTATGTACATTTTATAGGTAGATATAGATATAGATAGATATAGGTGGCAATCTGTATATAATGGAGATTTGCAGTTTCACATAACATCTTTCTCTGCTCCTCTGTCTATGGAAATACTAATTTTATTTGGCATATGCTAAGTTTATAATAAATAAAATTAATAGGGAGAATAGACTATGGAGTCATACATCCAAATGTATCATAGAGTTTTTACTGCAAATATTTGAGTATAGTTCTAACGGAGACTAGTAAACTAGGTTGCTTGCTAGCTACCCCAAGACAACATGCTAGCTGATGCACTTCCAAATTAGAGGAGTATTTTCCCTATTACAACCAAAATTGGAATAATCTCGGAGGCTAGATGGACAAGTTCTGATTTACAGAAATGATCTGATATCAAAGAGATTTAACTTTGCAGAGACTCCTTAAAACAGCCTCCTCAAGCCTTCATATCCTTTGGAGGCTTTTAAGATTTGTTTCTTTGATTGTTCACAGTATCACTTGACAATCTCTTGATTTGTGAATAAGATTCAGATCTATGTAGGCAGCAAACTGAAGTAAGCTCAATATTATTATTCTTCCTCTTCATACTTAAGAAACTACTAGAAGCAATATCAGTTCTGTGGCCAAATAGGATAAGGCTGCATCTGTAATGTGGCAGGCAAGTGGGTTGGGAAGGTAATTCTATGCTGCTTCTGGCTTCCCATTAGCTATCTTGTCTGGGAAGCAGGAGCCAGGACATGCAGGACAGTTGTCAGAGTTGCTAGGTACCTTGCCCCATGCACACATTGTTTACTTTCCTTGCGACTTCTTGAAAGGTGATTCTGGGATGAGAAGAGGGTCAGGGGTGGAGAGAGAGGTCTGTGTGGGGAGTATGTATGCATCTGGCCGGAGTCTTCAGCAAACCTCTCCTCCCCCAACAATTAGAAAGTAGCACAGGGTCGTAGTGAGGATCAAATGAGATAATTACGTAGGGTGCATCTCAAAGTGTTGTATAAACGTTAGCTATTGTTATTTTTATAACGAAAAGACCAGTTTCAAATATCTGTGGCCCAAAAGGAGGAGTCCTTTGGCTCTGACTAGATAATAGAAAAGAAGCCCCGTGGCATGAAGACAGGTGCTTCTCTACATGCAGGGAGGGACAGATAGACTGGCAACCGGACAGACAAATGCGGCCAAGGGGAAAGTGATGTGAATTAGCCCAGCTTTCAAATCCCTCCCCCTTACACAAACACAAAGCAGACTCCTGTTACCCAATCCGTTCCCCAGGCCCCAAAAAGCGGAGCAAGAAAGTGCTTCCTGAACTCCAGAGCCCTTACTAACTTCACACTGTTTGATCAGCCAAGGAGACAGTCCCCAGCGGTCCCCTGGAGACCCCGGAGAGGGGCAAAGAAGTCCAGGGCAGAAATCTGCCACTGATGCCCGGCTGGGAGGATACCCTCCTACACCCTTTACCAGCGGGAAAGTCCCGGGCTCCTGCTTGCTTTGGTAGGAAGGAGGGAGGAGGAAGAAGGGTCAGTACCTTGGTGCCCTGGTAGAAGTCATCGATGGACTGGGATCCCATGAAAGGCAACTGCATGTGCGTGTGAGTGTCAATGCCCCCGGGCATCACCAGCTTGCCGGTGGCATCGATGATCCTCAGCCCCTCGGCTGACGTTCCAGCCGCTAGGAGGTCGGGCCCCACAGCCCGCACCACGCCGTCCTCCACCAGCACATCGGCCAACTGGGAGTGGTCCTGATTTACCACCCGGCCCCCGCGGATCAGGAGCCGCGGCGAGGCATCCATGGCCACAGAAGAATGGCAGAGGCACACGCACTGGACAGCCCTCCTGCCCGCAGCTGGTCGGTCCCAGACCCCTGGGACCCAGCAGTAGATGGGAGCGAGGTGCTAAGGCTTTTCTCCTGTGAGGGTCCAGAAGCAACTGGAGTTTCTTAGTCCTAAGGTCAATTACTTAACTACGCAAAAAGTCCAAGTTCCACCAGGGATGGCAGCAGCAACCGACCACTGTTTGAGTTCGTCCGTCTATTAATAAACAACAGTAAAGTCTACAAAAGTGTTAAGCTAGTCCCAAACCCCTAAACTCTCTGCTAACATGCCTCACCCTTCCTTGCTCAATAGCTGCTCCTGGCCCAACCTTAGCTGGCTGGCCCCGCCCCCTGGTGACTGATTTAGACCAAGAGAAAAGTGGATGGGGCCAATCTACCGGAGGCCTTGGTGCACACTCATCTCAAGATCATAGCATTTAGAGCTAGAAGGGGTGTTATAAAGATAACTCAGTTCAAATCTTTCATTTTGCAGATGAGGAAACTAAGTAAGACTCAGGTTAAATGATGCCCAAGGACACACAGCAAGTTGAAGAGAAATAGGTCTTCTGTCTGGTCTAAAGCCAATCCTTTCCATTACATCAAAGGCTCTCTCCCTTTTTGCTATTCAACCTTTCTAATCAGCCATAGTTAAGTGAAAGAAGAGCCTTACATAGATGTGTCTGAGCTGCCCGAATGAAAGGGGATGGAGGTGGGAGGAAAGCAAGCATGATTGAAGAAAGTCTAACTTAGACTGGAAACAACATTGGCTCAGGGGCCAGAAGATCTGGGCTCAATGTAACCTTGGACTTCATTTTCCTCATCTCTAAAACGAGGAGGAATAGATGAGATGGCTTTCTGAGAGACATTCCAGCTCTAGATTGCAGGGTTTATTCATTTTGGATTTTTAATATGGATTCACTCCAAGTCCCACACCTTCTTCTACTAGCTCTGCCCTGTCCCTCTTAGACTTTGACTGTGATGCCACAAACCTCGCCCTTGGGTTCTTATTGACTCATTGCTAAGATAACAGGTTTGAATTTCTTGTAAGAAAAATAATTAATTTTCCTTACAAGGGGGAGAGGAGCACTGTTTTGGAACCAATCCTATCTACAAATACAAATACAAAAACCCTTTGCCCCCAAAGCCCATAAAAACAAACCACGGAATAACTTGATCTGAATTACCTATGAAATGAGGGATAAAGATAGTAGGAAGATAAGCTCCTTGAAAGCAGGGACTGTTTTCATTTTTGTCTTTGTATCCACATTGCATAATGCTTGGCACATGTTAAATATTTATTGAATGCTTATTGCTTGTTTGATTGACTCAATATAAATAACCTAAGTAACTGACAAGATCTGAAATTCTTTTTAAGTACTAAAGTTCATAGTAAGTCATAAAAATATTCTTGAAGCTAGCAATGCTGAGTAACCAGCTCTCTCCTGGTTTTTCATAACTGTTGTTTTCAAGCTATTCTGTTGAAATACACATACGTGTGTATGTGTATGTACATATGCATACATGCACACATATGTACATACATATACACACATATCATATGGCACTGAATTTCTTCAGGTCTCAGATTATACTACCTTGAAAATTCCACTCAGAGTTAGAAAATAACAATTAAGTATTTTCATTTGCCACCTTGCAAATGCTACCTTTCATAAGAGTGCATCCTCCCTTTCACCAATGCAGATTATAATACCTCCATAGATCACATCCTGTGCCAGTCTCTTTCAGGTCTCTTCAAAGGTCCTTAAGTCCTCTAGATGGTCCATCCAATGAGCTGGAGGTTTTCCTTTGGTTCTTTACCTCCCATGTTGATAACAATGTAGAGAACAGGGCTAGACCTGTCCTTCACACACCTCTCACAGTCTATGTGATCAACTTTGCTTTTCTGATAATACATCAATCAATCAACAAGCATTCACTAAGCACCTACTATGTGCCAGCAGCCACTGTGGTAGGCCCTGAGAATACAAAGGAACAGCTCCTGCTTTTGGGGAGCTTGGTGGGAGGAGGAAGATGTGCTGGGGTTGGGGGAAGATGCATATATAAGAGTGACACGAGATCTTGAACTGGTGGCTCAGAAGGGTATTGTAGACATCCTTTCTCTGTAAAATGATTCCTTATCTCTGTGCTCATTTGGGATTCGGTCCTGAGAGGAAGCTGGCCTCTGGAAAGCTGGTCTCTTCACACTCGCACCTTAGAACTTCAGGAAAAATTACTTAAGTCTTAGGTTTGTCTCATGTCTCTCAAAAAAAAACAGAAAACTACTTGAAGGGATAGCTATTTATTTCTTCTAAACCTAAAAGAAATGCTTAAAATACAAAAAAGTTACGAGTACATTGACAAAGATTTAAAACAAGAAACATTAACCTACAATTTAATTATACTCTCTGAGGAGGTTGTTACTTAAAACATCAAAGCATGAAATATCTAGTGTGATGCAGCTCAGCCACCATGTTACTGCCACCTACATTGTGTAAACGACTCCCTCAAGATCCCTGAGTTCTGCTAAGTCAGCTCACCCTCCTGTAATGGTCATCTTCTCCTCTGTCAAGATATTAGGAAACAGCTTGTTTTCCAGAGCTAACGCCCATCAAGCAAGCTGTGCCCTGAGCTTGACGTAGCTACAATTATTTGCCCTCACTGTCTGGATGATCTCAGCCACAGCAAAATCCCAGAATTGTTTCCTATAATTATTGTCCTGCTTTGACCAGCACCAGGTGTTCTCTGAGCTTGGACAAGCACCTTCTGTATCCATGTTCTGGTCATGAAGCCCTGCTATGAATCAAACTCGTCACATTGTTGCTGTTACCCTTCATTGTCAGGGCTACAGCTCACTGCGTAACCATTGGCATGAGTACTGAGATCTCCCCACACTGTCTCTGGTCCCCCCACTAGGGATGTGGCCCCAGCACAAGTGTCCTCGCTTGCAAGCTGTTTCCCTCACTTTGAAATTAAACTTCTGTTTGATTCCCGACTCTCCTGTCTCTAGCCTGCTCTGTTTGGCTCAAGCCACCCACAGATTAGAGGCTGGTTGCATCCAGTTGACACCTCTCTCCTATAAAAAAGCATCTCCTGAAATAGTTGGCACTAACTGAGGGACCTAGGATCTCCCCACCTCCAAGGCTGGAAACATCCATCTAGGAAACAGTGTTCAGGAAAAGAAACTTATAGTAAGCAGAAGGAGCAGCCACGGCATTGAGATCTTGACTCTATTTCACCTAGATGATCGGCTGCTCCAACTGCCATGAGTGAGCAGCTACTATGGCTGACAAGATGGAGGAAGCATGAGAGAGCCTCACTGAGACCCTACACACTTGGGATCCAGCCATTGCCTCCAAGGGAACACACACAGAAGGATGATATGGGAAGAAAGAGAGTGCGAGCTGTTGCAGTTGCTCATTTTAAGGTCTACTGAGTGGACTCTTCTTGGCTCAATGACCAATCCTGATACCTGCCTTGTCTTGGGGCAGAGGAAAGCACTAGGTTATTTGGCACCAAAGGAGCAGTTCATCCCAAAGCCCAAGTCCTTCAACACAGTCATATTCACCACTAGAAGTAGCCAAAGAAGCTCCAACAAGTTCCACACATGATCCAATGGGGATGTACACTGTTCCTACTCTTGCAACATGAGCAAAAATTAATAGCAGCTGACTTCAACTCTCCCTCTCCCCCCAAAAAATGTTCACACAACACACTTTAAAGTCTAATGTGTGTTACCAAAATTTTCTCCATAACTTTCTTGTTCTAAACCAGAGGTGTCAAACATCCAGGCCCAAACCAGATTAAAATGTTTATTATTAAAATATTTAACAAAAATAAATAAAAATATAATAAAACATCATGCTAGCATGTGGTTTTCTAAGTCAATATGCAGGCTACAGGGATCCTTGTGTGTGGTTTAGTAGCCTCCCTCACCCTTTTTTTTTTCTTTCAGTTTGTCATCGCTGATCTGGACAATCAACAACAACAATAAAAACAAAACAAAGCAAACAAACAAAAAAACAAGCACTGATCTGTCACTTTGCCAGTTTTCAAGGTGTGAATCCTTACGGTGAAAATATAATGATCCACTCTTTCCAGCCAGTTTGAGTCGGAATTGGTTCCAACGTACCCCTGAACATAAGCAAATTAGACAGAGATACAGATGTGTATACACACAATATGCATATACATGTGTAAAATGCCATCAAAGTAGGCAGCTAGGTGGTGCAGTGGATGGAGCACCCACCCTGGAGTCAGGAGGATCTGAGTTCAAATCTGACCTCAGACATAACACTTACTAGCTGTGTGATCCTGGGGAAGTCACATAAGCCCATTGCTTGGCGAAAAACAAAAACCAAAAAAACAAACAAACAAACAAAAAAAACCAATGAATAAAATGCCATCAAGGATGTATTTTACATTGTGGGTAATATACTGTATCCTGTTTATGCCCAATATTTCCATTCTCCTTCAAGTTACTTTTCCTTTTAATCATAACAAGATATTGTTTTTCTGTGATTCACCACCCTGTAGTATGGAATATCGGTTTTAAATGGATCACCTTTTGCTGCAGTAAACAATTTAGACTCACTGCAACCTTTCCCAAATGTGATCAGTCCATCAAAATATCTTCCTCCTCAATTCTGGATAAGCCTAGGTCATTTTGTTTACAATTACTGTTCAACATGTGCACATTGATACCCACAGCTCATGGGCTGCCCATTGAGAGGCATGTCACGGTATCGAGAATTTACATTTCTTTATCCACTTAAATTTTCTGGGTGGATGTTCAAATATTCTTACTCATACTGCGAAGTTAACAGAAGAGACTAAAAAGTATTTCTGGGTCCCATGTAATTTGTGTAATGCTATAGGAACATTAGTCAAATTTCACCATCGATAGAGAATTTTTTGGTTTGGGCTCTTCAAAAGATCTCTTCTATAACACTGGTGAGCATATTATCATACGGTCATAGATTTAAAGTTAGAAGGAAACCTAGAAGATCATCTTACTCCAGCCCTCTAACTGTACAGATGAGGAAATGAAGGCCCAGGGAGTTTAACTGACTTGCCCAAAGTTATACAGCTATTCATTTCATGGAGCAGGATTCAAATGATGGTCCCAGGACTTTGTTTCACCAAAATGAATGTTTTCTTGTTTTACAGATCAGGTTGATATTAGCGTTCAGTAAACCATTTTAAAACACAAAGTATCTCCGTAGTTAAATCTGTCGTAGAGTGTCATATAATTTTAAGGGTAATTTGGAAGATACTTTGGTTGGGTACAGGCTTCAAGGCTGCATT